GCAAGTCGCTATGGAGACCCAAAGAACATTCGTCCCACAGTCCCTATTGTTTGGAATTGGAGTGGGCCAAGTCTTATCCGAAGTGTCAAGTCACTTGAGAATAAGGATCCGGTCTTTTCTCGCTATTCTTCACAATGTCTGGCATAACTGGTACTCAGTAAATGCACACTGAGGGAATGAATGATGAATGAAGGAAGGAAGGAAAAAATGAGTGAGGCAAGTTTATGTATTTTCATTTTACAAATATTTACTGAGTACCTCCTCTGGGCTGGAATCTGGAGCTTTTGGGATAGGACTCAGTCTTTGTCCTCAAAAAGCTGACTAAAAATGCAGTGTAAAAAGTTAAAATTCAGATTCGAATGCCCTCTGAGGGTGCTGAATAATGCAAGAAAATGCAGCTCCCCGCTCTATTTTTGGCCAGACAGGTCTGGCAAATGATTGAATTTTCCTTTCCAGAGGACCTAAAATCATTTGCCACTTCAGGAAGATGCCATCCTAGCTATGACTCCCAAGTCCAGGAAGCCAGCCAGGCTTCTGGCCCTGGGGGACACATGTGCGTTCTGGGCCTCCTGGGTTGTCCATGGCCGAGACTGTAGACATTTCCTCTCCATGCCACCTGGAGCTGCCGCTGTCTCTCAGCCTCTCTCTGGGCTTCCAGCTCCCCTTGGGTCCACTTGAGCTTGGCCCGCAGCTCTTCTAACACCTCGTCCACTGGCTGTTCCTCCTTCTGTTTTCCTGTGGGGTCCATGCAAAGAAAATGACCAGGTTAAGTAGGAAAGTCAGTGGAATATTGATCCTCACCTATTTAATCAATCACACCTCAGTCTGAGACCAGCTTTGCCACTTTCCTTTTACATTGACCTTGGGCAAATGACATAACCTCTAACACTCAGTTTCCCCAAACTGGGAAATGGAGAGAATATAACAGTGCCTAAATCAGAGAGTTGTTGAGAAGATGAAATGTGATCATGCAAAGTGCTCAGTGTAGTGCCTGGCATGACAGCTCAGTCAATGTGAACAATTGTTGTCATTTAAAATAACTATTTTGGGCCAGCCGAGTGGCTCAGTTGGTTAAGAGTTGGCTTAAGAGCGCAGGCTCTGAGCAACAGGGCCACCGGTTCAATTCCCACATGGGCCAGTGACACTGCACCCGAGCTGAGCTGTCACTGAGCTGCCAACAGATGGCAGGATGGTTCAGCTGGTGTAACAACAAGATGGCCTATTTGATGGTGGGCTA